AGGTGTCTTTTCCTGATTTTGGCACAATTGTGATTTTCATTGCCTAAATGTTTATGGTGTTCCTTTCTCTCTCTCTCTCTACCACTTTAAGAGTATCTCTAACTTCTTTCTGTTCCTCTTCAGCCATTTGAATAAAGACTATCTTCAAATGTTGGTAGTGGGTCTTTAAATTCGTTCTCTGTTATCCACTTCTATGGCTGCAGTAGGCAACCAGTCTATCTTGGATATCCCATTTCCATATAATCTTAGTATTTCTATGGTTGAATTGTTTCCCCACAAAACAGTGGTTTTCTTAGTGCAGGGTTAAAAGCTTGAGTAATCATAAACATTTTTGTCTCTCAGCTTGTACATTCAGATCTACTGATTACATGTGTGTCTGTGTGTGTGCATGAAATTGATTATATATCCATCCATGTTTTTATCTTGGTCTCAGTTTAAGGTCCCCATTGGTTTGGACTGGTCTTCCTTCCCATTTTGGATCATACCACTCTACCATATGGAAGCAGGAGAGAAGCACCATGTGCTAGTAACTCAGGCTATAGCTTTGGACTGTTACCCTGCCACTTAAGGTGTCACGGTACATAAAGTTCTTCACCTGCTGGGCCCAGGTGCCTCATGATAAGGTGGGGTTAAGAATTCTTTCATATAGTTTAATTGTGAAGTTGAATGAATGAACCATTACAGGCATATGAAATGTATCCTATAAATAATATTTATGGTCTCCTGGAAGTAAGGCCCATTTCCTCACATGTATGGCAGTCACTCCTCAGCACTGCCTGTCTTCTTCTCTGCCAGTTAAAATTCTACGCACCCTTCAAGGCTAATCTCAACATTATTCTCCATAAGTAATTCTTGAATAAATTTGTCTACCACAGATCCCTCCTTCTTCTGACCTATATTATTTATAAATTATTCATTTCTGCCTTACGTCTCTGGTTGCATTCTGTTTTGCATTATAGCTGGCTGTATATGTCCTTATTTTTTCTCCTAGATCATAAGGTCGGTGGTCAGGGACCATATTTTCTTTGTGTTTTCTAAAATACCACATGCTATAATGCTCCATTAATATTTATTGAATAAATGATTAAAGAGCATATTAACTGTCTCTCCAATGCCAGATTTCTAACTCACTTTTTAGCATAAGGAAATATTTCCTTCAGAGCCCTAAAAGATTCAGGAACCTCCACATGACCATATGCTTTTCTCCCTTCTTTAAATATTTTTCCTATTCATTCTTAATCTCATCACTTTAATAATTACTGCTGTTGCTTTATTTACAGAGGGAAGGACCAGTACACTTTGCAATGTGAATTTATTTGATCTTTCACAGTTAATGCTGGTGAACTTGTGTGACCAAAGACTTACTTGGGTGGCTTTTCCTCCTCCTCTCCCATCCATTCCTCACTATTATTATTATTATTTATACATTATTGAATTTACAGAAGTAATTGCTCTGTGTTAATTATTTAAAAAGTATGTTTCAGGTTGAGAGACATAGATGAGGCTAACTTAGCCGACTGACCCCATCTTTAGTATGGCCACCCCAAACCATGAATATTTTAAATATTTAAAATTGTTGACTCAGAGTTCAGTCACAGAGATTTTTTCACTTTACAGGTTCCATGGGGGCTGGGCGACCTTTCCTAAGCCATGGTATTTCCTTGTAGAGCAGTCTGCACTCTAGCTCCCCATTCATCCTGGTCTGGATGAACTGGGTGATCTGAGTGAATGAAGTGTGTAAAAACTGAACATTAGAGTCCAGCATTTTCTGTGGGCACCATTTGATCTACATTTCAAAGAACGTGAATTATTTCATGTTTGACTTATGTATGCTAATTCCGGTTTCTGTACATATTTTAGTTATAGCTATGTTATAATTTTCAGTATGGATGCACAGAAATGACAGCTTTGACAGCTGAGTTCCATCTGTAGTTAAACATGTGCATCTTCTCCATGTAGTTTAGTTAACATTTTAGTATGGACTTTTCTTAAGTTGAAAGAAAAGTTGAAATTATTCAAATTGCAAGGAGATATAAAAAAATAAACCTATAGTGAGACTTGATTAAAGTAGGTAAATGAATCCCTTCTAGACTATACTAGAATATTCCTTACTATCAAGTAAAATTATGTTTTCTTGATTGAAAATCAGTTGACAGCAGGCCAGCTAACTTTCACTCTTGGGCTCTAAACGCCACATTGATCCAGTTTGGGAGCTAATTTCATGACTCATAATCTGAGGGAATTTAGGGAGTCTGAGGTCGTGGGAGTCTGTGTAGGAAAACCAGGGTCAGATGCCGGCCTAGGACCAATAGACAATTCCTGCCTCCTTCCCACCTTTTCATCTGTTCTGCAAACTGAAAGGTGCTCTCCTGAGACTCTTAACAGGGTTCTGCTTTCTATATACTCCATTCCCTTACATGCCACCCACTTTCTGATTTGTGTCAGCATGGTTTGGTTTAGTTAGTTTTTGAAGTTCTTATATTTAATATAAATAGAATCGTGCAGGATATTCTTTTCTGAGCTTGGGTTCTTCCAGTTATTGTTTTTGGGATTCATCCCTGTTGTGTGCATCTATAACTCATCATGTTTTCTGCTGTGTAGTACTCAACTGTCTGGATATACCACATGTGGCTTATGCAGTTTTATCAAACCCTGATTTCTGAGTCTATGTTAGACTTTACCGCTATTCTGCCTTTCCTTCTCTTCATCATTTTGAATGAATGTGTCAGTCTGTTTTAGTTGAGTTTTTCCTGAAAGAGGGCAACCTCTGCATGCACATTTTCTTTAGCTGGGGAAATTTTTGCTTTCTGTTGTCTTTGATTATTGTTTGTGTTCTACTCATTCTGTCTTCCTTTTCAGTACACTGATTGCTCCGTTAGCTGACAGTGCCTTCTGTGGACCATTAGCTGACAGTGCCTTCTGTGGACCTCTGGGGCAAATTTCTTTCTTAATTTTTGTTTCTGAGTACCTGTGCTCTATGTTGAGGAAAAGCTGTTCAACTGCTTCTCCTCCATGACACTTATTTGCCAGCATCACTATGTTTTTACTACTGACCACGTGGATTTTGAGTTTGTATTTATGCTTGATTTTTATTGAAATCCTCAACTTCTTTTTATATTAAATTCTTCATTTCTTTCTTCTTCCCTCCCTCCCCCTTTCCTTCTCTTTCTTCTCTGCTCTCTCTCTGAACTCAGTGTTGGGCCTCTTCCATGCTCCACTGTCTTTAACTTGTATGTCATTGTACTTTTGTCTTTACATTTTCCTTTTAGCTGTTGTTATTTTGTTGCCTCTACATGCAGGCCATGGTTACTTGTGATTTCTTAAGTATGCCAGACCAGTTCCTAAATCCTGTCAGGAAATATTCAGGAGGAACCTGAGGTAAAACTTCCCTTGCTCTGACATACTTTTTCATCAGTAGTTCCCTTAGCTTCTCCTTCCTTCTTCCCTTACCATCCTTGGATGAGTGCTCTCTGTGTAGAGGCTTTGTTTCATTTTGTTAAATTCTCTGGTGTGGCAGTTCAATCACTGTTCTATGCCTTCAGCTGCAGGGCAGTCTCATGGGAACATGGGCAGCACGATCCCTGGTTCCAGCCAGTTTAGCTCTTCGCACTGAGCTCTGTCTGCGGCACTTGCTTCCCCCGCCAACTCCTTCTCTATTCCCACGTGGCCATGTGATGCCAGCCCGGTGTGCAGCTCCCATGAGCCCTTCTCTTTCCTCTCTCTCTGTCTCCCTGTCTCTCTCTTTGCAGTACTGGGGTTTGGACTCAGGCTACATGCTTGCTAGGCATGCGCTCTCCCTCTTGAGCCACACCTCCAGCATCTTCCCCTCTCATCACAAAGTGCCACCAGCTGTGGAAGTGTGGACTGCAGAACTGATTTTCTGCTCCGTTCTGACAACTGCGTCTTGGTGATAAAGAAGCCCTCTGTGCAGGTTTTGTTTGGAAAATTACCTGGGTCACTGAGTCAGAGAATGCGTAGTAGGGGCCACAAGTATCTTCTTAGTTCCGTTCACATGAGCTGGAGCTAGAGACAAGGCTGAGGACACCACCTCCTCCCCACAGCAGTCTGCTTTATAATCAGAGCAATTCATCAAAGATTTGAAATCCAGGCTGCTTTTTAGCCCTTGTTCTCAATGAGATAGACAGATTTTTCCTTTTGTTTTGTTTTGTTTTTCTTTTCTTTTTTCCCTAGTATCTTCGTTGGTATTTAGTGGTAAGCTAGTTGTGGCAATTAGAACTACTAGCGAAATGTCACTTAGAAAAGACTTGTGAGTTTACATTTTAAATGCGAACTTTAATTACCTCATATTGTACCAGTTGAATCACATTAAAGTTAAGTGCAACTGAACAACTTGTTCTTTCTAGAAAAGCACCTTATAAATCTATTGCCTTATCAACTAGTTATTTTAGTACATCTAAGTTGTCCTTTTGAGAGTGGGAATTAAAGTTAGGGACTCTTGACAAGCTGGCTAATGCCGGGATCAACACTCAGCATACCCTGAACTCGTATTTCTCACAAAATGACCCCAAACTCCACCATCCATGCCCAAAGGTGAGTGCTTTCTCTTTCTGATTCAATGGTCCTCTTTTGTCAACTGACATCTGTCATTCCTCTTTTGTTCCTTGTGTGTATAGCACTCTCGATTGTTAATCATCTTGAAACTTTATTTTGATCTATTTTTAAAACAACTGCTGGTTGTTTTCATGGCAGGCTAAATGGTGTACTCTCTTAAACCCTTCCCCAGAGAGGCTGAGACTGTCACCTCTCACTTACAAAGATGTCCCATGTCTGCTTTAAATAAGGCCACACTCTTACCATTCTAGCACTTGTCTCGTTTGACTGGGGTTTGGTGGCAGTGTTTTAAATGGCAACATCTCCTAGTATTTCCTCAGCTTTTTACATATGAAACTTAGTCGTGGAGATCCTTGAGTTAAGGATCACTGATCTTGCTAATATGTTATTGATAGTAATTCAAAACTAGTTTTGCTTTTTTTTTTTAGCTTAATCCTGATTATCGAGATGCCCAAAATGAAGGAAAAAATGTGGTGAGTAAAATTTTTTCTTAACAAATCCCTTGTGTTTTATATGAACAAATTGAAAACTTAGTAACAGATTTGAAGAGTAGGGATTCTGAGAGAGATTCTTTGAGTTGGAGAAAAAAATAAAAAGACAGTGCAGGTTATAAGACATCCAGCAGCGGATGTTCAGGAAGACATCTGTCACCTCAAGGTTGTTCACATAGAATCTTGAAGGCTGATGGCATCTGAGACAGACCAGAGGGTTAGGTTTGGTTTACCAAGTGCACTGATAATTCCTTTTGGATTTAAAAAAAAAATTAGGTTCCATTTTTGGAGAGATAAAAGCTTTAAATTCAGGTGACTGAGTTTTCTGATATTCTATAATATAATACTGGAGAAGCAGCACACTCAAATTTGAATGCAATTTCTGTGAAAATATTTACAGTTCATTCAATGAGAAACTCAGAAGTTTAAGGCACACTCCCAAGTATTTAAGGTGATGGCTGTGTGTGTTAGCTTCCTCAGTCATTCCATACGGTGTACATATTGCAGCATCACTGTATACCTCACCACTATATTGATTATAACTTGACAAAATATGAAACAAAACCAAGAATAGTTAAATAGTCATTAGGAACACAATCTGGAAGTTCCTCACTGGACTACAGCACAATGCAGCAATCCCACTACTGGGTATATATCCAAAAGGAATGCAACCAGTGTGTTGAACAGATACACTGACTATTTTTTTTTTTGGGTTTTTTTTTCTTTTATTATTCATATGTGCATACAAGGCTTGGGTCATTTCTCCCCCCGCCTCCACCCCCTCCCTTACCACCCACTCTGCCCCCTTCCTCTCCCCCCCACCCCCTCAATACCCAGCAGAGACTATTTTGCCCTTATTTCTAATTTTGTTGTAGAGAGAGTATAAGCTTAATAGGAAGGAACAAGGGTTTTTGCTGGTTGAGATAAGGATAGCTATATAGGGCATTGACTCACATTGATTTCCTGGGCATGTGTGTTACCTTCTAGGTTAATTTTTTTTTTTTTTTTTTTTCATTTTTCTTTTATTATTCATATGTGCATACAAGGCTTGGTTCATTTCTCCCCCTGCCCCCACCCTCCCTTACCACCCACTCACCCCCTCCCCTCCCCCCCAATACCCAGCAGAAACTATTTTGCTCTTATCTCTAATTTTGTTGTAGAGAGAGTATAAGCAATAATAGGAAGGAACAAGGGTTTTTGCTGGTTGAGATAAGGATAGCTATACAGGGCATTGACTCACATTGATTTCCTGTGCGTGGGTGTTTAGGTTAATTCTTTTTGATCTAACCTTTTCTCTAGTTCCTGTTCCCCTTTTCCTATTGGCCTCAGTTGCTTTTAAGGTATCTGCTTTAGTTTCTCTGCATTAAGGGCAACAAATGCTAGCTAGTTTTTTAGGTGTCTTACCTATCCTCACCCCTCCCTTGTGTGCTCTCGCTTTTATCATGTGCTCAAAGTCCAATCCCCTTGTTGTGTTTGCCCTTGATCTAATGTCCACATATGAGGGAGAACATATGATTTTTGGTCTTTTGGGTCAGGCTAACCTCACTCAGAATGATGTTCTCCAGTTCCATCCATTTACCAGCGAATGATAACATTTCGTTCTTCTTCATGGCTGCATAAAATTCCATTGTGTATAGATACCACATTTTCTTAATCCATTCGTCGGTGGTGGGGCATCTTGGCTGTTTCCATAACTTGGCTATTGTGAATAGTGCCGCAATAAACATGGGTGTGCAGGTGCCTCTGGAGTAACCTGTGTACACTGACTATTCTTAACAGCATTTGAGATCAACTTAAATTTCCATCAACAAATGAATGAATAAAGAAAACATGCTTTATGTATACAAGGGAATACTATTAAGCAATAAAAAAGATGAAATTATGCCATTTATGGAAACATGGATGGACCTGGAGGACATTATGTAAAGTGAAATAAGCCATGCACAGAGAGACATATACCACATGATCTCATTTATATGTAGAATCTAAAAGGTTGATCTTAGAGAAGTTGAGAATAGAATGGTGGTTCCCAGAGGCTTGAGGGAAAGGGGAAAGGCGAGTCCATGGATGTGAAGAAGTGGTGTGTGACATTGACATGGCTCAGTAAATAGTGAATATAGTTAGTGATTGTGCATTGTGTATTGCAACACAGCCAGAAGAATGTGCTGTGAATGTTCTTACCACAAGGAAATGATAAGTGTTTGCAGAAATGTATATGATAATTACCCTGACTTCACCACTACACAATGTATATCTGAAATATCACTTTGTACCCTGTGAATATGTACAATTATTGTGTCAATCTAAAGTAACAATAAAAACCCAATAACCACCCCCACCTAAAATTCTACCCCATGATGCAAAGCGTTGAACGTTTAAATAGAGTAACAACTGGGTTTGCATTGGTCCACAGCCTTGTGTTTGGTTTTACATGAGGGAGGAAAATCAGTAAGAATTCCTGAACCTGATTTGTTCCTCTTTGATTTCTCTTTCCACTTGATTTTCAGGGTTGTGGTAGACATGAAGTGAAGGTGTCAGGTGTTTGGCCCAACGACAACTTACTTGTGTCAAGACATACCTGAGCACAGATACAGGCTCATAGTCATATTTATGTTTCAGTTTTATAAGCTGGGTGGACTCTTCTACCCTTGGACTTCAGTGGCTACCCCAGGATTATTGGATTCTGACTTTACTATGATTTAGGCAAATGCTACCAGTAACCAGGTTTCAAAGTTGAATATGAACTATGGTTTCCTTGCTTCTTAATACAAGCTTGTCAATGGCGTCCAACCAAAGACCACCAGGAGCACATGTAGCTGAACAATGGTTACTACTGATTGCGGGCAGATGCATACATACTGTGGGAAACCTTGAGGCACCTCAGTGAGAGTGTGTTAAGAACTTGTTAGAGAATTTGGGCTGGCATCAGGTGATTATGGGGAATCTAAGGAAGTAAGGCTTTGCTGTGGATAAGAATACTGTCAGGAAGAGAGGTGGTTATACGATTGGCATCTTAATAAATTCTGTCTACAGAGATGGCAGGCTAAAGATGCTGTGTTCATTCTTGTCAGCTGGGTGAGGAGGATTATGCAGCCATTTTTGTGAGCTGGACAATATGCTTGTTTTGTCTGTCTTCAGACACAGTTAGGGAGTGGTCTTGTTTTTGTCCTGATCCATTTCGGTCAGGATGACCCTTGTCAGGTGATGATGCCCTGGCCTAGCTGTGAGTTCACTGGTTGCATGTCAGGGCCACTTTTCTTTTCCTCAAGCTATATTTTCATTATATTCTGTGTGGCTTAGGACCAAAAGAGCCTTTCTTGTAGCAACACAACAGATGTGTCCTCAGACTGGGTAGCTTCCTGAAACTCTGTGTCCTTACCTGTGTAATGGATACAGACTTGTCTTCATGCCAGTGAGCTCAGATACATGGACACTCTGAAGGAGATGTGTAAAGGGCTTCACCCCGAGCCTCCCAGTGCGCCGCTGAGTTGCATCTGGTCTCTTCTCTTCAACCACTGCTGCTGGTCATTCTGGGCAGAGCACGGGAAGAATGCAGAGTACGAGGGTTTTCTGAGTGGCACCAGGAAGAGAAATAAGTAATAAATCCATGGTGAAGTTCACTGTACTAATCAAGCCCCTTTGGTTTGCTTTATGGCTTTTTTCTTTTTCTTTCCATTTCTCATTCTCATCTAGAGGTGAGGGGAGTACTCTCTGGTTAAGCAGCTCTGACTGGCAGTACTTTAACTTCACACAGACAGGTGGGGCTGCACTTGCTGAAGAGGGTTATTAGTGATGTCATCTGTCATCTCAGGTAGACATCCTTCTGGAGACATTTGATTTAATATTTCCCCTCTTCACAATCTCTAACTTGAGAGTAAACAAAGCTGTGAATGTGGCACGGTAACGTAACAATATGGCTTCTCATTTTATAGGCCGTTTGCCTCAGAGCAATAATTATGTTTCTGTCTGAAGAAGAAAACAAAGGAGCTGTCAGAGTTTATCAGTATCCCGAGGACTGAGAAATCTATTTCCCAAACCACAGTGCCATCCACCTGAGGTCTGAGTTCCAGGAACAGTGAATTCACTGCCTACACCAATTTTTTTCTGTCCTAATTTTCCCCTGTCTATTTAATGCGCAGTTAATATTTTTCCTGTAATTTAGATACCTTTATGAAAATGTCGCCTTCCATTTCTGAAGCTTCAGAGGTTAATGCACGGTGCACAGAGATGTGGTTGTGTGTGTCAGAGCTCTCATTAAGACCTAAATTGCTGTATTTATTTTACAAAGGAGTCTACTATTTCCAATCTTACAAATGTGCAACATCCTCCAGGACCTGGTAAACATTGGAACCGTGTCAAGCACAGCTGGGAATCGACAGTAATTATTTGTGTCTTTTCGAATGTCTGTGTGAAGGGGAGTTTTCTGGAATACTCCATGACACTGTCCATGTTAACATTTCACTTTGTGTGAGTTGTGATCTGATTTTTTGAGGATGAATCTTTGTTTATGCTGGGGTTTCGCACCTCTGCACACTGGCACATGGGCTGGGTGATTCTTTGTTGTGGTCCCATAAGCTGTGCTTTGCATAGTGGGGTGTTTAGAACACCTGTGGCCTCCTGTCACCAGTGCCAGCACTAATTGCCCTAAGGCTTCAGTGTGGCAGCTAAAGATGTGTCCACAAATTGCCAAGTGTCCCCTGAGAGGCAAATCCTGCCTCTTTGAAGAGCCACTGGTCTACGTATATTTATATACATAACCAGAAATGTCTTAGGAACCAGGAAAGTGCTGAAAATGTACTTGCAGATCCTGTTCTGCGGAATTTGGGGATGGGGGTGCCAGATTCTGAAAGAACCTCAGATTTCTTTGAGTAGTGGGTTCTGTGACAAGATCCCCCAATTTCCTTGGGTTTTGCTCTGTCTTCATCAGTGGAAAGGTACTAAAGAAAAGAAAGAAGAAAGGGTTCTGTTAAGTAGCACTTTGGGAGGAAGATTTGTTAAGGAAGCAGCTTTAAAAGGCAGCTGATGTTGTTACATAAGGGCTACCTGTAGGGGCGGGTGTGAGTGCAAACACAGCAGCCCTGCGCTGCCCAGCTCAGAGAGCACAGACACCGCCTCTTACAGAACGTCTGGCTCCCAAAAACAGAATTGTGATATGACATTCTGCTGAGAATTCTGTGATTCACAGAGGAGTCAACACAGGTGTCTTGGGGCCTCACTGCTGTGTACCTTTCTTAAGCAAATTACCAGAGTATGAGTGATTAAAAACAGAATGCTTAAGACAACAGCACTATTGTAAAAAACAGCTAAACATGTTAGAAAGCTTTTATTCACACACACACACACACACACACACACACAGAGTTGTTATGCTATTTATAAATGGAACTTTTCTATTTGTTAAAGCTATTTTCTAGGGACTGTGGAAACTATTTAAGGGTAGAATTGTGCATTCCACTTGTTCTATGTAATTAAAATAAAACTGCAGGTCTTAAACACTGTGAGTAATTCAGAGTGGCCTTTCTAATTAACCCTAATTAGCAAGTTTTTTGTGTGTTGGGAAAAGATTGTCGCAGGGTGAGAGTGTCCAAAGAGACTACTCTGGTTGGGCCCCACAGGGAAATATTACCAAGGAGAGTAGGGAGGAGGGCCATCGGGGGGCCGAGTTCTGATCTCTTAAGTCTAGAAAATTTATTTCATCACCATTCTAAAAAAGGAGTGAATGGAGAACTGACCCCTGCTAAATGAACTCACAGATGACTGATATATAAACCATATGTCATGTTTCAATTGCTAAATAGATCTAAATAGCTGGGCCATTTAGTGCATTTTCCTTGAAGGAATGTCTACATCAAAAACTAAATTATAGTGAGAAGGTGGATGTGTAGGAAGCTCAGTCAGGAAATAAGATGACGTATTCCTTTTAGGGATATGGCGTTCTTCCAGGAAGACAGGCATATTTATTTATTACACTACACCAGACCATAGTGAGAAAAACGGTAAAGTCCTTGCTCATCGACTCCATTTATTTAGGTTACACACTGATCTTCTGTTAGCAAAGCCTTCCTTCAAACATGGCTCAGTGTAATGGATAAGATTTTATTTCCCTTAGGTAGGGTCATATGTTAATTGTGCCTTTCCAATATTCGACTTAAGCTACTTTTCCCTGCTATGGTTTGAATGTGTCCCTCAATTTCATGTGTTGGGAACTTGGTCCACAAGCAGCAGTGTTGACAGGTGGGACCTGTGGGCAGTGATAGGCTGGAGGACCCTGTCCTCATAAGGGATTCCTGGATCATTGCAGGAGTGGCTTGTGATGAAAGGAAGCTTTCTCTGGCCCACTTGCCTTGCCTCTCAGAGCAATGCCCTCCACCATGTTTTGATTCAGGGCTGGTACCAGTGCCAGGTTCTTGGACTTCTAGCCTCTAGAATCATGAGCAAAATAAACCCAGTCTCTAGTGCTCTGTTACAGCACAGAAAATGGACTAATACGTGTCAAAATCCCATTGCCTACATAAAATCCTGTGAGTTAGTTCTGTAACTGACTGATGTCATCCATAATTCGTGTTCGTGCATTCTGAAGGTAATCTCCTCTCACGTGTTTTAACAATACTCATCGTATTAGTGATTCTGTGTTTTGACAGCAACAGCATTGCAAAATCCAAAAAAGAGTTCTTTTGTAGTACTTCTTTGTAACTGTCATTATCCTTGTGTGTTTCTCCCCAAGTTTTCCTGTTATTGTCTCAATATAATTAAAAACAAATCTCCCTTTTCTTTCTTTTTTTTAGTTGCCACTTTTTCCTCCAGTTTTCTGCTCTTTCTCCGCCTTCTTCTTCATCCCAGATATTATGATCTTCAACATCAGATGTTTCAACACGCAGTTTTTCCATGTTGAAAAGGAATTTTAGTTACATATGGTCTTCCTTGGGGTCTTTTCAAAGAAGATGGCATGGACCTTGTTCAGGCCTTCTTGCTTTTACAGTCAGGAGCGGTGTCGCTTCTGTGTCATCATTAGCTTTCAGAGCCTCCAGGAAGAGCTGCTGCTATGTCACCCATATTTTAGTATAAAGAACATTGGGACTTCCTTATTAAGCTTCATGGTATAGATTCACGAAGCAACACTTTTGACTATTTTCTTTCCTCCACCTGCCTTCCTTCCTGTCTTCCTTTATTCTCTTCTTCCATCCTTTCTTCCTTTTCCCTTTCCTTTCCTCTCTCCCTCAAAGCTCCTTTCTTCTTTCTTCCCCCTTTCTTTTTCTCTCTTTTTAAATGTCATACATATTTATGGTATATTACATGATGTTTTGGTGTACATGTACATAGTGAAATGCATATTATTGTCAAGCAAATCAACACATCCATTGTCTCACACAGTTACCTTTTGTGGTAAATGACCTGCAGTTTACCATACATTTCCACCATACAATACAATATAATTAAGTGTAGTCTTCATACCATGCCTTTGCTTCAGGATTTACTCATCCCACAGAACTGAAATTTTGTAAACTTTATACCCCTTGACTTCCTATTCCCCCACCCCTCCCCTGGTAATCACCTTTTTTCTTTTTTTCTTGGCAGTACTGGGGTTTGAATTCAGGGCCTCATGCTTGTGAGGCAGGCACTCTACCACTTGAGCACCTCTGCTAGCTCTTTTTTTCTTGGGTATTTTGCCCAGGCTGACTTTGAACCCCCATTCTCCTGAGCTCTGCCTCCTGAGTAAGTAGGATTATAGGTGTGAGCCATGGTGCCGGGCTACCATTCTGTTCTTGGTTGTGTCTGTTTCTGTATATTGAGTTTTTTTCTTTTCTTTTCCTTTTTAGACTTCACATATAACTGAGATCATACAGTATTTTGGCTTAATGTCCCCTTGGTTTATTTCTGTTGTCACAAATGTAGTGTCTCCCTCTTTTTAAAGGCTGAATAGTATTTTGTTGTGTAGATGTTCTTGACTTTTGGCGGACCTACATCCTGGAAAACTCACTGTACATTGAAAATATCTTAGGTTAAAAAAATGCATTTAATACTCCTGATGTGCCCAGTCCCATGAATGAACCACACAGGTCACTGTAGGTATCTGTTGTTGACATTTCATGATCTTGTGGCCGACCCGGAGCTGGGGCTCCTGTAAGTGCCCAGCATCGTGAGAACATGCAAATTGCCAGCCAGGGAAAAGAATGAAATTCAAAATCCAGGTACAGTATCACACCACCGTAATGTTGAAAACTTGTAAGTGAAGCCACTGTAAGTTGGGGACCCTCTGTGTACTTATGTATGTACCACAGATTTCTTTACTGGCCATTCACCATGGACATATGGGCTGTGTCAATGTGATGTTGGGATTACCACCACAGTGAACACGAGGCACAGAACTCCTTTGGAGGCAGTGGTTTCATTTCCTTTGCGTGTGTGTCCGTAGGAGGAACTACTGGGTCATGCAGGAGTTTGGTTTTTAATTTTTTGAGGAGCCTCCATACTATTTTCCACGGTGGCTGCACCAGTCTATACTACCAGCCACAGTGTGCAAGGATGCCCTTTCCTTCACTTATTACCCTGTCTTTTTACAGTAGCCGTTCTGGCACTTGTGAGGTGTATGTCACTGTGCTTGTGACTTGTGTTCCCCTGACATTTAATGATGATAAAGATTTTTTGTATATTTAGTGGCCATTTGTATGTTTTTATGAATTTACATGACTCAGCTCTGTTTCTTCTCTGTGTTTGGTTTAGGATTAGATGTGGAAGGTCAAACTGACTACTTTGTGAATAGGTATAAAGGCACAAGGGAAGGGACCATAACTCTGTGAGTGCTACTACCTTAATGATGTGCCCAATCAAGCTACCCCTCCCCAGGAGTATGTGACTTTCCACTATTGATAATAATTTCCAGGCCTGACCTCCTTTTTCTGAGTGATGTCCAAGGAAGGAATAACACTGGAGAATTTAGTAAGGAACCTGAAGAAAATAAATAACCTTGTACCTCCTCAACAGAGAGATGGAGACCTTCCAACATCAAGGAAGCGAAGGCAGGCTGGGGAGAAGATCATGTTCACTCTGGTCTCTGTCCCACATGGAAACGACATTGCCACCCTTTTTGAGCTGGATGCCACCACTCTTCAGAGAGCTGACTGCCTGGTACCAAGGTAAAAAACCAAAACAAACTGGAATTGTAGTAAAAAAATCTTTCTTTGGATAATTTTTCCAGTGGGTAAGGAATAAAAACAACGTGAACATAAATTTTACAGTATCAGAGAGCACAAGTGAGGAAAAAATGCACAAGACTTTGTGCCTCTTTTGTGTGTAGATTAACACAGTTTGTTTTATTTTTATAAATAATTAAATGTGCAGGAATTTTTCAGAAGCTCTTAAAAATTCATAAGGATCATTTATTCTCATTACTTGTGGCCTTTCGTTACTAAAATGGAAGGTAATCAACTTCAGTAATACTTTTTTTTATTTACACTTATTGTGTCAGATTCCCTATTTCCATATTCCTTTATTCACTCATTCATTTATCTAGTAATTCAGTCAACGAGTGTTTATTGCACATTGACTATATATGCCAGATATTGCCCTGGACACTGAGAAGACAACAATGAATGGGCTGGTTATATGGTGGGATCAGGCTGTAAGCAAACCAGTGAACATAAGACGCAGTCAGTAGTGAAATGTGTTGAAGAGTCACGGGAGGGCCCAGAATTCTGTCAGGTCGTATGTGTAGAAATGGCCGTTCTGAGTCAGGACATCTGAGAAAAGATTGGAACGATTCAAGGACCAAGTGCTATCTATTTGGGAGGAGCAGTCTGAGCAGGAACAGGAAACAGTGTTCCTAAGGACCAATAATGAGGCCAGTGTCATTGGACCTGAGTGTGGTGGAATTGGAACAATGTGGGTAGGATTTATTGTAAAAGAATCCTGCATGAATTTGACTGTTGAAGTGAAGATCGTTTGTTCTCTCTAGACACAGAGTCTTGCCCATATTTTGGGGCCTTTGGGATGGTTTTAAATTGACCTCCATGGGATACTGTTGCATGTGGTCTTGGACAGATGGCAGTGGTTGGCTGTGGGTAAAATGCAGACACTGTGGTGTGGGCACCTTTTAGGGAGGGTGAAAAATTCCTGGTGGAGCTCCTAGCATGTTCCACACCATTCTCATTCATGAGGAGTGTTGCTGAACCTGGACCTCATGTGAGTCCACTCTTCTCTGTTCCTCAGTGTGGTCTCTGGCCTCCTCCCAGTATGGGGGGGCCTTAGACATTGCTATGACTTTACTCATTTTAGATTTAAGTCAGCCAAAATGGAGTCTTTCTTATATACTAACCAAGAGAGGTGCTTAAGAAAATAATAAAAGGATATCGCTGTAAAGTTCATAGACCTATGACAAAGCCCCTGAGCCTCGCTTTGTGTGGAGATGTTAATCCAATAAAATCAGAACCGTTGAATTTCTTCTCACTGTAGTACAGAGTTTTGTATTAGCATGCATTCACTCATCATGTATTATAGCTAACATTAATCACCATGTGATTATAGCTACTATCATAATAAAACTGTTGAGTGCTTTCTGTGTGCTAAATCCTGTGTCATGTTCTTTAAATAATCTTAATATTATTTAATCATATAGGTCAGAGACCAGAGGCTGAGTTGGAACAGCCTTGAGTTGGCTGTAATTCAGAACCACCTGGCAGCATTGACATCTCTCCTTGTCTTAGTCTTACTTAGCCACACTGAGACTAATGAAGCAGTCTTGGGCTGGGACACAGGCTTTACTTACTTTATCTATTTACAGGAATGAGAAAAACCATATTGTTGAGTGAACATCCCCCTGAGGCCTTTGGCATTTTATTTGATTTCTCTTATTGGCCCTAACGTTTTACACCTTAGGTTGCATGACAAATTTATGTCTTACCTTTCTGCTGAGCTCCATGTATCTCAAAGACAGAAACTTTCAATAGGTATTATACACATATTTGTTAAAGAGATAATGGTAGTAAGAGAGTCAGTAGGAATGGTAATATTTGAGTTGGATAAAGTTCTGTGTCTTGTTTTCAGACACACTCTCATATGCTTAACAGTTGATTTTTGCTTAGTGAATACGAAACTATTACTCTCAAGGAAAACACAGGGTTAGATTCCTGTGAGCTCTGGTCACATGTTTATGAGTCAGTGCATGACCTTGTTTTGTGTGTATTTCTGTTTAAAGACACCTTATTCACTACATATTGTTGACTTGTTGCACTGAACTTGTGTGGTATGGATGAAGCCTGCCTAGAACAAGTATTTTCTTCTTAAGTCATGTCATAGCTTTCTTGTGCTCAGGAACTCTTAGGCAGCCCTTCCGAAATAGGGTCATTTTAAACATCAAGATCACCAAGAAAAGCATTGAAATGTGGAGAACATGGTATTAAGTAGATCACAAAATGATCCTTGTTCCCAGTATGAGACATGAAACAGAAAGCCGAATGTCACCTTGTTTTACCTCAGCTTGGAAAGGTGCTTCTTGGGCCACTCAGATCTTTGCCACTCTGTGTGTGTCCCAGATGACCACAAAGCTCCATGGTTTGGGTGTTACAGATTTTACTCAGATTTTTGGGGGCACCTGTTATAACTCTTCACTGTTGGGACCCACCCCAGAGTGTCTAATTTACTGGGTTGGAATGAAGTCTTAGAATTTGCATTTCTAACAGTTCTGTAGGGCTTCTGATGCTGCTGGTCCAGGGACCATACTCGGAGAACCATAGGCCTACTTAATAGTGCTGTATGCTTTGAAGTGGTGCAAATTCAAAATTTTTTCTTAAATCAGATGGATCTTATGTCAGCTATTAGTCTAAGATATATTTATGTTCAGATCATTTATGAAACTTAAATATGTCAATATGTTAAGTATACTAAATTTTTATATTGTTTTGCTTTTAGGAACTCCTATGTTCGGTTAAGGCATTTATGCACCAACACGTGGGTAACCAGCACTAGCATTCCTATAGACACAGATGAAGAGAGGCCTGTTATGTTAAAGGTAAATATTGCTGAAATTGTTTAATTTTTTGCCAAATGCTATGTTCATAGGATTAGGGGATGACTGACATATTCCTTATAACCCGTCTTCACCAGTATTGGAGATTATTACAATTAAATTCATAAGCGTGAGTGTCTTGCAGTTCCTTAGGAAGCTGAACTGTATGGGTTTGCTGCAGCCTGCCTGAGGGTCAGGAGAATGCAATAGGGATTCCATGAGAATGAGTGGAGCAGGTGGAGCAAGAAGGTCCCAGGAGCACATCTGCTCTTCTCTGTTGAAACTGAAGCAAAGGGCAAGTGTGAAAGGAGCATGTTTTCAGTGGCACTTTGGGGACAGAGCACGAAGTGGGCAGGAAAGGTCACTGTGTCCCTACAGTGTTTTGTAAGGGTGATGCCTGTGGGGATTGCTGTGTTTGGATCATCAGTTTTTGCTTTTGAATTTCTTAAGCAGTGCTGAGATGTGTTAGTCCTCAGAGAGTATTATTTCGCAGAACTGACCTTAATGGAAAAAACATTGCAGATTGGAACCTGCCAAACTAAAGAAGACAAGGAAGCATTTGCCATTGTGTCTGTCCCACTGTCTGAGGTCCGAGACTTAGACTTCGCCAACGATGCAAACAAAGTGCTAGCGACCACAGTTAAAAAGCTGGAAAATGGCTCGATAACTCAGAATGAAAGGAGGTTGGTAACTTTCAGAATAGCTTATAAGCATAAGGAATCAATTGTCAACTCTTGTGGTGAACTTCAAGTGTGTGACTGACCTTAGGGATACTCAGAACATTCTGGGTGTCAGCACATCTACTTCCCAATGAGGTGGGCCCGATTTCTCTTGATCATGATGGGTGAATGAAAATGGTGAATTGAAATCTCATAGAATACTTGCCTTGCTCATTACTTGTTTTTAGTTACTCTCTGGTCTTCTCTTTAAATTCTTTGTAGGAGATTCATAGTACCATTGCTGCATGGGCCTCTGTCTGGATGTACAGTGATAAATCTCCTAAAGGAAGGTTTATGTTTTTCTTGTTGTTTTTATTCATGATACACTTCATGACTCTGGTACCACAAAGTAAACAAATGTGTAATATGAGACAAAACCCTGCAAGGTGCAGCTTTCTGTCCTTGTAACTCATTTGGAGAATCTGGGCCCTTGATTTTTCAGTTGGTTTTGGAAGTAAGTGAGAATGGCAGGGATAGCTAGAATGTACTGCATCCCTACGTGTTGAGTATTACAAATACATTTACATACTGTATCCCCACTTGTGTGGAGTATTATAAATATATCATATCTAACCACTTAGGTAGGCCTGAGAAAGATGCCACATAAGCAGAGGAGGTTTAATCACAGGTGCTTGAAGTTCATGTGCTTCCCAGTGCATCCCCTCTTCATGATCTGCTACATAGCTTTTCATTTGAAGAACAAGAAGCTGTTTGCCGGTTTCGTAGGCGTTCACGAACGTGTGCTCAAGCACAGGTCGTGAGAGATAGCTGATAGAGTTGAGGCAAGCTAGCAGCCCAGTGAAGCAATGGTGATGTGCAAAGAGAACCAAAAATGAAGGATTCTTTATGGTCTCTGAGAGAAAAATACTTAATAGCCTCATTAGGATGAAAATAACCCATCAAGGTCATGGGAGGTCACAAGGTGTTTTGAGTTAGGTGGACATCAGCATCCTGAAACAATAGATACAAGAAACACAGAAGGGAAAATCGTATCCTGGGGGTATGGTGGACCCAATGTTACTTTGTATACTCATCCTAGCCTATCATGAAAGGATGCCCAGATTCCTGTCTCCCTGCCTCTTGTACCCCTCTAAGGAAGATGGGAGTTTTGGCTTCTGAGCCATCTGGCCAGAGCCCACTGCTTTTCTCTTGCAGTTTTTTCTTTAACACTCCTATCTATGTTTTCTCTCTACTTTTAATAAAACTTTGCTGTGCTTTGCAATCACAGTATCACTGTTTGATGCTTTGGTTTGGACTCGAGAGCCTGAGAATGTTCTGATCAGGGTCTTCGGAGACTACCCATCCACAAGCATAACCACCTTGCAAAATAGTCTGGAGTAACCAGAAAGTTAGAGGAGCAGACACTCTGGTTCATCAGTTTCACTGCTTACCTGGATGTTCTTGAATATCTGTCTGTAAGATGCTAGTCTACATTTTTGCATCAGGGCACAAGTGCCAGAATGTCTAGTTTTGTTTTAAATTCCCTCAAACTGAAAACATTCAGATGTCCACAGGCAGTTGAAGAGATGATAAAATTGTGATATGTTCATACACTGGAATAAGTATACCCATGAAAATGTTACTGTACAAGTCTGTGTGTAATGACATGGATCAATGTAACAAACTAGACTGAGCAAAAATAAGACAAAAAGACATTCACTGAAACATGATTTATAAGTTCCAAAACAAGCAAAAATAAACTATTTCTTTGTGGGTGTTTTAGCATTTGGAAGAACTATAAAGAAATGTAAGGAAGTCATTGTCTCAAAAATCAAAATGGCAGGGAGGAGAGGAAGGGTGAAGTGCTCCTGCAGTGATCTAGTCCCCACTCTGAATGGTGACTTCATGGGGATCACATTATCAGTATGCCTTAACTAAAAGTTGTAGAAAGTTTTGGGTATGGTTTTTATTTTTGTCGTTGTTTTGGCAGTATTGGGCTTTTGAACTCAGAGCTTCATGCTTGCTGTGTACACACCCTGAGCCATGCTTCCAGCCCACTTTGCTTTAGGTTATTTCTCATGCAGGGTCTCACACTTTTTGCCTGGGGCTGGCCTTAACTATGATGCTGCTATCTAAACCTCCTGTGTAACTGGGATCACAGGTGTGCATCATCACACCTGGCTTGATTTTTGAGCTGGAGTCTTGCTAACTTTTTGCCCAGGCTGGCCTAGGACAGCAATCCTCCTTATCTCCAATTCACCCTCCCCACAACGTGGCTGGGATTACAGCTGTGAGCCAGGACACATGGTGAAACTTTAACATATATGTGTTACATACAATACAAAGGAGAAAGATATCCAGCTTGCTTCCCATATCTCATGAATTAAAAAACCTGAATATGTAAGCGAGAGCTTCCTTTCTGTTCATGTCTGTTTTCCCCTGACAAACCTGCATTTGGGAGCAACTGTTGTGTGTTCATTTGCACTTCTAACCCTCTTGTGGGGCATAAATAAAGGCCAAAGCTGAGGGAGCTGCCCCGCCTTTCTGGACTCCAGATAACTAAATATCAGAGCTCAATTATGACAGGAAATGGATTTCAGTATGCAGACAGGAATTTTTATTTGCTTGTTATTTATGTAACTCCTCTTAATGAATCCGTTTGTCTCTGTCCCACTCTCTCTCTCTCTTTCACACACACATGCACGCACGCACGCACACACACATTTTCTGAGTCTTTCTTAAAAAGTCTCCCTTGCTAAACACAAAGGTATTTGTGAAAGAAAATGGTGAGCCCACCTTCTGCTTGTGAGTTTGCACCTTTGGTGGTCATTTATCTCCCGTGTGAGCCACTCTTCTCCAGAAGCTTAGCAGGGCATGGGTAGAGTGGACCAAAGATCATGCCTTTTCATGTCCCTGCTTTGTACCTCTGGTTTAGAGTGAAAAGCAACATAGCAAAGAAGGTTCTGCCTGAGAAGAATGGAATTGCAATTATTGATCTTAATTTAGTAATTTCAGAAAAGCCAGTGCCCATCAAAACAAATTTGAAGCTGCCTGTCACTGCAGTAGTTATCGGCACAGCTGAATGCATCTATATTATTTTCTGAGTTTCAGAACTCAATATAAAATTCTTTCTGAAAATAACAGACAACTCTGACTTTTTCCGCCTATGGAGAATGAAGTTATTATTAGATACTCTCTTTACACAAAATCAGGAAGAATGATACAAGGTCAGGGAGGTGTGGGAGACTGCAGGGCTGTCTCAATGCCTGTGGTGCTGGTGCCTCTCTTTGTCTTTTGCTGCCCTTTTTCTCACCCTGGAAATGGACTTAGGGGCACAGCTGCTGTGCTATGCTCCAAGATGCTCAACCTTAGTTCATTTTCAGTCTCATTCTGCCTAGCTACACCAACAAAATAGAGAGTATTGGGAACATGGGGGCAGACTGAGGATGTGGAGGGGTGTTGTCTGCTATTCAGAGCTTGAGGAAGTGACAGGTGCTTCTCCTCACCCCCTCACTGTGATTTGAACAAAGGGCCTTGCACTCACTAAAGCATTCTACCACCTACCTCCGCCTCCTGAATAATTGGAATTAGAGGCGTGCACCTCTACACCCAGCACATGGACTTCTTAACCAGAATCTGCCCCATGTCCTAGCTCTGAGTTGTGCCTGCAGAGGCATCCTCCACTATCTGCCATTCACGGATGTAATTCATTCAGGATCATCAGGCTCTTGGTGTGTGCTACATGCTGGCTGTGTGACATGTGGAGCTGTGATGACGCACCCTGTCAGGTGAATGTCAGGACCGTGTCCTGTCACCACGCAGCTTACAGACCTGAGGGGTGTCTCTGAAACCCCACGTTGACAGCGCGGAGTCTAGAATAGTCACATGACTGATGACCACCAGGTCAGAGGTCTGCCTGATGTTCCTTCTGGAGTTGCATTATTTCCCTTACATCTTATTTGCTGAGGTTTCTGTTGCCATGCCAGCAACCCTTTCTTCAGTATTCACTGGGTGTTAGTTTTTCAATGTCTCTTGATTTCAGATTTCCTAGTCTTTTTGTTTCTGTTATGTATCTTGTTGGCAGCAGAGGGCTGGATTTAAAAAACCTAATCTGATTTAGGAGACAAGATCTAGTCTATTTTAATTTGCAAGTTTAATTACTTTGCATTTGGGAAATAATGTATTTAGACTCATTCTTATTCTTGTTTATTTGTTTTTAAGTCAGGGTTTTGCTGTATATCCCAGACTGGCCTCAAACATGTTGTGATACTTCTGCCTCTGACTCCTGAGTGCTGGGATTACAGCTGTGTGCCTCCACAGCTGGCTCCTTCCTTCCTTCCTTCCTTCCTTCCTTCCTTTCTTCCTTCCTTCCTTCCTTCCTTCCTTCCTTCCCTCCCTCCCTCCCTCCCTCCCTCCCTTTCCTTTTTTGCCTTCCTGTAGCTTTTCTTTCTTCCATTTTGCTTTCTGTTCCTCTGATAAAGGTTATTTCTCCCTTTTACCTTTTCCTCTACGGATTTAGAAACTTTAGGTTATATTTCTTTCCTTTGGCAATTGCTCCCAAATTCTTAGTCATACCCTTTAGGTATATATTCTCTTAGAAAATTTGAGGGTATTCATATATCCTTCTAACACTCCTGGTAGAAAAGTACCTCAACTATGTTTTTGGAGACAAGATTTAACTATGTAGCTCAGCCTGGCCTCAGAGTTTTGATTTTCCTGCTTCAGTTGGGATTACAGGCATGTACCACCGTGTCCAACTATCAGCATGCTTTAATTATGCACTGACAGACTTCTCCCATCTTTCTTGTCACAGTTATCTAGAGCCATGGTTCTGTGTTTATTTTTTTCATTTGTAAAATTTCACTTTATACTTGATATATACAAAAGAACCATATCATATAAATTACGGTGCACCATTTTTTGTTGAGAAATTTAGTTTCCAAACACTGTTTTTCTGTTACCATTAAGTTTCTTAGTGTACATTACAATTCCTCTAATTGCTTTTGTGTCTGGTGTCTCAGTTTTTCAATCCATTCAGAGACTACATATATTCCTTCAGTTCTGGAAAAATTTCAAGCCACACTGAATTTTTCCTCTTTTCTCTGTTAGAACTCCTAGTAGATACCTTTGGGTCGTCTAGTTCATCCTTCTGTTTAATTCACCTTTTATTATCTGCCTTTCTCATTTCTCTATGCTCTTGTCTGGATCCATAATCATTAGTTTTTCTTAGACTATGTGCAGAATAGTTGACCTTCATCAATTAGACTTTTGTTTAAGTGATTGTAATTTTTTACTTTCAGATTTGTGTTGGTTCTTTTGCATGTCTCCCTATCCTTCCTTCATGTCTACGCTTTAAAAACACATCGTTTTTGTAGATAATTGCTTCTCTCTTGAGGACTGACAACACACTCATTCGAAAGCTTTGTTGAAATTTTTGTGACTTAGATTTTGTTGGTAATGAATTAGCTCCTGATTTCTTCAGTATGATGGCTGTCTGTCTTAATGTCAGTTTTCTTCATGTGCTTTGGAATTTTAATAGGTAGACTTTTCTTAGGTGGGAGATCTTTGCTTTTCCTCCCTCTGTTCACTCACTTTCTGTATCAGTTTGGGGGTTGCCTCCACCTGGTCTCCCGCAGCTAGGTACAGCCCGGTGTGACACTGAAGGCTGAGTGATCCTGCCCTCCATGAATGGGAGGGTTAGTCATTGTGATTGCAGGTGGCTGGGTCCAGTTCTGTCTCTGCTTCCCGTTTCCTCCTGCTGTTCTCATTCAGAGCCTGGCCAGGGCTGCTGTTTCTGAGGGTCATGGACAAGGTAGAAAAGCCCTCTGTCAGTCACTGCACTTACTTTGGTCCCTACCGATGCTTCAGCCCCAGCTATAAACGGCTGTAAACAGCTATAAGCTTCACTGTGTTCTTCCTGTTTTGTTCCTGATCCATTTTGCAGTTTATGATGTTTTCAGCTGTGCTCTGTGTCTGTCATTGCTGCACCTGACAGAAAATCACGCAGAAGAAGTTTTTATTAAAAGAAAATTAGGAAGATTGTGTTAGAGGGACCTCACCACTCAATATGGGAGTTTTACCTAAACTGAAGGCAAGCAAGTTCCCCTGTTCCCTCTTGGATGCGAGGGATGAAAGTGAGAACAGATAAGAGTCTGGCTTTCTTCCCAGGCCTCATTGTCAGGGGACATGAGCACTTATCCTAATGCACAGTGACCCCGAGTCAAATGGTTTTCTTGGTCATCACCAAGTTTCAGAGCATTTGGAAAACACTGAAGCACGCTGATCTGTAGCTGACCACAAATTGACGTGTAAACTTCTAGTTACAGCTATTGAGAGAAAACCAGAGAAAAAGAATATCAATTGTGTTGAAAAGATTGTGCAGATATTTATGCCCAGGCTGCTCGTGCAGATGACAACTGCACTTCAGCTTGACTTCTGTTTGCTGTGGTGACCTGAGCTCAGAGGAATTGCTAATTCTGTTTTGTTTTAAGAACAGTAGAGTGATTTGGAAGACATTAAATCAGTTTCAAAAGACCTTCCACACCACCTGATGCACAGGAATTGTGTTTTATATTTCTGTGTTTGCCTTCTGAGATTCACCCAGTATGCCAGTGACTCCTATCAGATACACACGTTTTCCAAGACCTGGTTTGCTATTTAAAGAGGTCTACCAGGAAAACTTGGAGAACCTGGAATTTTGGAGAGCAGTGTATGGTCTCTGCCTTTGTGCTGACATTTCTTTAGTGGTGGCTAAATTCTGGATTCTGGGAGTACCAGAATCTGGGTGGCTTTATGCAAGTATGTTCTTTTCTGTGATATAAATCTGGAGGTGAGATCAAGAGTCTCTAACTGAATACTTTCCATACTTTTCTGGAAGAGGTGAAGCTCTTAAGTTGTATTTTATTAATGATACGATTGTGAGCATGATGCTATTGTGGTGAAAAATCATGTCGACAATGTGTGGGTGATGCTAGCTTGAACACAGATACAGAAGAGGGAGGGAGAAAAAAGGAAGGAAGAACTTTCAAGATACTTTAGGGACTAGTAACACAGAAATTCAAGTAATAGTTATAATAACCAAAATGTAGAATTATAACTAAACATTACTGTTTGGTTTCAGAACACCCTGATTTTTATAGAGCAGTTAATGCTTTCATAACATTGATTGCTTGCTGTCTCCATTCACAGGTCATTTAGGTTTTTATGTTATGTACATTGGGCAAATTGAAATGCACTGAAGATCAGGAATAGTAGCTTGAGTAGGTGGTGAAGAACAGAGTTTGAATTTAAGAATTTAGAAGAATAGCCACTTTCCTTGAAGCAGAACTGTTCTCCTTGCTGGTTGGTCTTGGTAAAGCCTCTGGTGTGGTTACTTTACCAAGCTCATCTGTTGTTGCGGTCATGGGCTGTATTTCACAGTAGTCTTTGCAAATACTTCATTAGACATGAAGGTGGAGTGTGGTTGGAGGAACTGGAGAAGGATTATTGTTGTAAAGGGTAAGGTGAACTGTAGTACATGTTATTCTTGTTGGGTAAAAGTATTTTTGTTATAAAATGCTTTAGGTATTCTAGTGTTTCAGTTCTTAGGTCTAACTTAAAAATCCAAAATTAAGCCATGGAATAAAGTTTTCTTTTCATTTTATGATAGGTTTGTAACAAAATTGTTGGAAGACCTCATCTTCTTTGTTGCTGATGTGCCTAATAATGGTCAAGAGGTTCTGGATGTGGTTGTCACCAGGCCCAACAGGGAGCGCCAGAAACTAATGAGGGAACAGAACATATTGGCACAGGTGAATTTTTTCATGGACTAAGTATGCATATTTTATTTTTACTAAGCAGAATAAAAGTCTAGGAGTGGCTTAGGTGGTTGGATCTTGCTCAGGGTCTTTCGTGGAGCTACAGTCAGGTGTGCTAGGTGGGGCTCCAGTCATCTCCAGGGTGAACTGGGAGAAGAGTTGTGTCCTGGCTCACCAACATGGCCTCTCACAATGCTGCCTGCACACAAGGTGGTTTGTTTCCCTTAGAAGTGAGTGGCCCAGGAGAGAAGAGCAGACACCCAGATGGGGGCCGTAGCCTTTTCACAACCTTGTCTTAGATGTCATGTCTTCTCAGCTCCACTGGGAGTGCTTAGAAGCAAGTTAATGAATCCAGCCCACAGTAAAGGGGAGAGAATATGAATGTGGATGTTAGGGGGCAGAGACCACTGGGGCTGTCTTAGAGGCAGCCCATCACAGCCTTCCAGAAATACCTGGGCAGATTAGCTCTAGAAACTCTGCTGGAAATATTTCTTGGTAGAATTTCCAGGTGAGCTTGAAAACACCATTTCATTTACTTCCTCCTCCTTTCTGTCTCCCCTCTAGAGAAGTAGGGAAGCTTTGTTCAGCTCCTGGGTGCACTGTGCAGTGTTCACTCTCTTTTTCCTGGAAGTTTAGAGCAGATCCCTACTGTGTCTTCCTGACACAAGCCATACGTGCCAGTAAATCGATCCATTTCCTCATAGGATGCATATATGTATGTCCCTGCCTTCATGGGTTCTTTTTATCATGTGATTTGCTATTTAAAGTCATGGGATTTTGCACTACTTAAGTATGGAATCAAGGAAGATACTTAAAACATAAAAAGGGTGTCATTGACATACATGTCCTTGCTGACTTGGGAAAGGAAAATGTAGACATTGAAATTAATATCTTTAACCAGTCTGAAAATATAAAGTCAGTTTTTTATCAAATAAAACAGAAGGTTATAATTCTAATAGTATAAAATCTTTTCTGACATCAGTGATTCTTGTATATGAAGCATTTGATTTCAAGGACTATAAGAACCCTGAATGATTTATTAATATTTTGACCAACATATGTTAAATCTTTGATTTCGTAATTATAAAAATAAAAATCCAGGTTTAGTGAATGCAGAATTATTGGAGAAACGTAATACTGTGTTTCATGAACCCTGAAGGATAATTTCTTTCTGCTTTGCTTTCCTGTGTCACTGCTCATCCCAGGCTGTGGTCTGTCATAGACACTTTCCTCATCCTAGTGGCTTTTCTACAGGTAACCCTGTCTGCAGTTATGCTTGTGAGACGAGTAAGTTACATTCCTCAATGCCTTCCAAGTGCTTCCTGACCTCTGACTTTCCTACAGGAATCTAACCCACCAGGCACCACCAGCTGCCCACATGGCCTTTTGTTATATGGTGTGTCTTCACTGCTTTCACCACATCTTTGTATACCACAAACAGTGGATTCACTGGGATTTGAACTCAGGGCCTTGTGCTTGCTAGGCAGGTGCTTTATCATTTTGGCCCTTTTTTTGCTTTTGATTATTTTTGAGATAGAATTCTTCCTTTTTGCTCTGGCCAGCCTGGATGATGATCCTCCTATTAATACTTTCCACATAGCTGACATGTCTGAGGTGTAGCATCAGTTCCTGCTTGTTTTTTAGATGGGGTCTTGCTGAGACTTGAATCATGTCTTCCCTATCAAATCACAATCCTCTAAGTCTCTGCCTGCTGAGCAGCTGGGATTATAGGTAGGAGCCACTTTTTAGAAAGAGTTAATTTAATTTGGATACTCTGGTATTAGGTGTATGTATGCTTAGAATTGTTATTTCCTCTTGCTGAACAGACCGTAGAAAGAGTTAAGATCAACATTTGAAAGCAATTTTGCCACGTAAGTTTTAGATAAAAAGTGAGTGTCTCCTTTATATTATTTTGATTTTGAAAAATGATAGTAGAAACTATGAAGTATATGGAAATTATATTTTAGTTCATCTGAATATGTATGTGTAGTTTGGTACCAACATCTTTATATTTCTCATTTTAATAAGTTATAGTTTACAAATAAAATTAAGTATTTCATTTAAATAATGTTTTTGTCATTCAATTTAGGGAGTTCTTTGAGCAGCGTTCTTTGGTTCCTTGGTATAATGTCCTGTGTCCTGAACACTCTTCCCTCCTTTGCATTAATTCTCCTCAAAATATTGCAAAAATGTTTTGAGTCCAGTGTTCTTATTTGTAAAAAAAATTAAAATAGGTTGCAAAAGTTGCACCTTTGTTCATCAGTATAGGTGGTTCTTTTTGTTCCTGATAGGTATTTGGCATTCTGAAAGCACCCTTCAAGGAGAAAGCTGGAGAAGGCTCAATGCTGAGGCTCGAAGACCTGGGGGACCAGCGCTATGCACCCTATAAGTACATGCTGCGGCTGTGCTACCGTGTCCTGCGGCACTCTCAGCAGGACTACCGCAAAAACCAGGTCAGTGGGTGTCCCTTCCATAACACACTCCACGGTCAAGTGTGAGTCCTTCAGTGGCTAGTGCAAAGCGAAGAAGATAGGAATAGGGATTTCCACCTTGCAAGGAAAGGTGGAAGCACATAGGTGTTTATTGTTCCACGTGAAACTAGATTGATAACTTACATGTCCTGAGTCCTGACCTGTATGGTATTAGTGCCCACTGAGCAGAAGGCCTATGGGATTGGTTATGTAAAAAGAGATGAAGAGGGATGAAGCATTTTTTGCCTGAGGTTTGTTAGGTATAGCCTTACCACATGTGGGCCAAGCAGTGAAGTGTGCAGTAGAAGTGGTGTGTCATGTGCATCTGAAACATGCAGGAGGGAGAAGGAGAGGAAGGAGGGAATGACAAAGGATAGCAGGGTGGGAATTCACAAGAGGGAGACTCAGGACCCTGGGCAGACACTTGAGGATGGAAGCAACCAAGTAGGATGTGTCATTTTCACAAATTGTACAAAAGCAAGCATTTTGGAAGAGGGTCCTAGGAAGAGAGAATGATGACAGCTAGGATGGGCACTGTGGCCCCAAGACGGTCTCAGCTGTGGAGGACTGAGGCTGACACTGGTGGGTCTAGAGATAGACCTGGAGGTTGTGAACAGCTGTGTCTGCTTTAGTCTTCAGGTATGTAATTATGCATTGTATTCAATAACATAAATGTTTAACATAAAATTGTTTAAAATTTAGTATCGTTTGGACATTGAGCTCCCATGTTTCCCTCATCCCATGCAGAGTCAAATGCATGGCCAGTGTGCTTTGTTGTTGGGTTTAGTCCTTGAGGAAGAAAGGTGTGAGACAGGGCTGAAGGCATAAGCCTGGGGGCTGAGGGTCAGGCCTAGAGAGTGAAGGTTATTGCTAGTGGTCATTGCTATCCACTGAGTGCTTACTTCATTCCAGGCTCATCCCAATGCAACTTTTGTGAATTAACTCATCTTGGTACGTACTGAGCTAAGATGAGAACTAAGGCATGGAGAGGTTAAATAACTTATCGAGAGTTACAGGTTTTTTGTTGGTTTGTTGTTTATTTTTTACAGTGCTGGGGATCAAACCCCAAGCCTCGCACAAAGTAGGCAAATGCTCTACCTCTCTGCTACACCCTCACCCCAAGGTTATGGTTTTAAGAATGGATTCAGTGTGTGAACACAAACCCATGTTCTTAATCGTCACACTGTTGTCTCTCGGTAGCTTGAAAGTGTTTTGACAAGGGAAAAAAATTGCATTAGGGAGATTATGTTGTGTTAAAATGCTGGCTTTGGGGTTCTGCTTAGAGATTAAGAAAGTTCTAAAAAGAATATGTTAAACAGATTAACCAGAAGTTAATGTGGTAAGATGACAAGGGGACACCGTACCCCAATCCTTAAGTGCTCAGCATCTGTAAGATACTGCCACTAGAACTCACCTTCTAACAGCATTGCCTTCCTGTATGATGGTGAGTGGACTAGAGTTGCTAGCATTCCCCTGCAAGAAGACTTAAGTTATAGCATGGCATGAACGGCTTTCAGGTGTTCAGAATGTCAGCACTGGCAGTGCTCCCAGCACGAGGGTCTTGGGTTTTATTCGTTCTGTGGAGGTCTAGAGTGAGGCTGCCCAGTGGGCTTCACTTGTCCTCCTTTCTCTTGGTCTGGAATAATATACAGATATATATATTTTATACAATTTTAACATATTGCTATAAATGTTTGATTTTTATTGTTTACTGTTATTAGTCTCTTATGATGTCTAATGTGAGAATTAAGCTTTATCATGGGAGTGAAGAGGAGAAAAGTTAATGTGGGTTCTTTTCTGTCCACGGTTCCAGGCAGCCACTGGGGTATTGATATGTGTCCTGTGAGGACATGAGGGAATTACTATATTTCCATAGACAGGCCACCTACACATATAAGTGACACTGGATTGTGGAGAATGAATTAACAGGAAAACATTCCAGTTCTCCAGAGGTAACCTAGGGTTTTCAATGCTGGACAGTTGGCGGGCACCACCCTCAGTTGTGTTCAGATGGAAGGTGTCGAGGGTCCCTTCCCTTCCCTTTCCACACCTCGCCCTGGGCTTCATTACCTGTTCTCCTTGGGCTTGGCCATTTGCTGGTCCCCAGTGCATTCCCCACAGAGCATGTCTTGTCTGGCGTCCCCTCTCAGTGTCTCCAGGTCTGGCACTCTCAGTTCTTGTTCACTCCTTCCTTGGTCTTACCTGGGGGCTCAGGCTTAGCATGCTGAGATGCGTGCTCTGCAAACACCGTCCCTCTGACAAGTAAATTCATGTGTACACACACACACACGTGCACATACACACACACACACACACACACACGCACATCCCCCCCCCAGGTAAATATTTGGCGGTTTGGGAACCTGCTTTCTGGGATTTTGCAGTATTCAGCTGTGGGTGATTCACTCTTTCCTCCCAGGACGAAGTCCCTGAGCTGACAGAAGAATTGAGATGCCCAGGTGTTCCTGGAGTGTTGGATTCATTTCCCCTCATCTCTCTCTCACACATGCTTTTGCTGAATCTTAGCAATAACTGACAACTCTCTTCTTACTTCTGTTGAATTATGAATGCTTTGCATTAAGCATAAAGCAGCTTTCTCTAGTTGTTTTGAACAAGATTTTAAAATGTAAACAGAAAAACCTTCTAGTTTTTTTGCATTAATTACCTTGTTTTCCTTTATCTGTATTTTATAGTTCATGATTTAGTGCTAACTCACATCTGTAATATTGAGTCTCTGTTTTATTATTATTTATAGGATTTGATAACACCTCCTATTTCATTTAATTATTTATCAACATCTTGGAAGTTTGCCTTATACCATAGAATGACTACAACAGTCATAAAAGTGTGCAAATCAATGCATGTCTTTAAAATGACACAGTATGAGATGACATCTACTTTATTTAATTGGCTACCCAATAATAAAGCCATCACTTACTTTGAAAGGCCACAAAATGCTGCCTTGAATATAATTAGATTTGTGCAGCCAATACCATTTTCAAGGAATAGTTACATTCCAGTAAATTTTTCCTAAGGCAAAACCACTTTCTAATCAATAAATTCTCCCATCATAGAAACAGAGATGCATTCTCAAAGAGAATCCCCAAGAACTAGAAGGTATTTGATTGTGGAAGGGTTATGTCTACCAGTTCCATGCGTGAAATGTGTTGCTTGTATACAGAATGTAAAAAATGAGCCATTGTAATTTGGAATATAGGATAGTTAATATGAAGAATAAGGAACAGATTAAATAATGTGTGATTACAACTCCCAGTGACTTTCTCTTGTAATATTTTTTCCCTCTACCATGACTCACAGGACTCTTTTGACCCACCTGTCTAACTTGGACTCTTTCCCCTCATTGGTATCCTCAACCTACAGTGGCCACATAGGCTTGGTTCCACTACCTCAAGACCTTTGCACCTGCTACTTCCACTGCCTAGATGGCTTCTCTCCAGGTTTTTCCACAACTTCTGCTTCTTTTCCTTTTCATCTCTGTCTTGCTCACATGCCCCTTCCTCAGCATCTCCCATCATTCTGTTTACTTCATTTCACTCATAAACATAGCAAATGATCAGCTTATCTATCTAGTTATAGCCATAGTCCCACTCTCCCAAATAGCACCTGAAATGTTTGAGGCCTTCAGGAAATAGTTATTGGATTAATGGATCTGATTAATATCATGAATAATTGCATTATCTTAGTAGATTACTTTTTAGTGATAAGAAGTATATTAAAATTTAACCATCATTTTTGGATCATGGTAGCATGTGTACTAGAAAAAGTCAATGCAAGTCCTCCTGGGAACTTGTCTAGATCTCATATCTCATTACTGAAATGTCAAGACAGCCATTTTTCTTTTCTATAATTTTGCCTAAACTAATGGTCATGACTTTTGGTGAGAGTAAGAAAAAGGACCTTGATTAGTTACTGTGAAATAAGCACCTGTTGTTTTTATTAGATTTACTTTTGGTTTTCCCAGATACAAGAGTGTAAGTATCCATATTAAAACTCATTTCTAGAACATAACTTATTGCTATAATTAAAATGATATATTCTGATAGATTATCATTTCCTTCCTCAAAAAGCTGTATTTATTGAAGAATTATTTACTTGCTTTTCTTTTGACAAAACTTTTAGTGAGTTTTCTGTTATGAATAAATTAATCCAAGCTGTTGGCCCTCAAGGACCTGCTATCTGCAGTCTGTCTGGTGGTGTCTGTGACGGTCTTTCTTCTTTGCAGGAGTACATCGCTAAGAATTTCTGTATTATGCAGTCCCAGATTGGGTATGATATCTTGGCAGAAGACACCATCACAGCTTTGTTGCACAATAACAGAAAACTCCTAGAGAAACACATCACAGCAAAGGAAATAGAGACGTTTGTCAGCCTGCTCAGGAGAAATCGGGAGCCAAGGTTGGAAGTGATTCATGCAGTGTTCTGTTCTTGGTGGTGGTGGCATTTTGTTTTATTTGCAGGGCTTTTCAAAGTTAGGATTCTTTTGTAGCACTGACTTTCATGGCAACTCTGTTGTCTTTATTGCTGTAATAACAAAAGATTTTTTTAACATGTAGGAGATCAGAGCTTATATTTATAGATTGATATTTATTTGTTTGTTTTTATGGTCTTGGTCATTGAACCCTGGGTCTCATGCCTGTGCTACTGCTGGGCTGTGCCCCAGCCCTAGATGGTGTTTAAATGTGTTTGATTTTCACTCTGATAAGTTATATGTGACTTCAAAAATATGTTCATATACCTCATCTCAAGATGCACATTTTCATGAAATGCATAGTTGTATGCACATTTTATTTTTTATTTATCTTTATTCTTTTTTTTTTTCCAGTGACAGGGTCTCACTGTGTAGCCTGGGCTGGTCTCAAACTTGAGATCCTCCTAACTCAGCCTTCTGAGTGCTAGGATTATAGCATGCACCCCTATGCCCAGCCCTCATTTTGTATTTTTTTTTTTTTTTTGGTTCTGGGAATTGAACCCAGAGCCTCACACATTCCAAGCCCTTACTCTACCCCTGAGCTACATGGCCACATTTTAGAAATGAGAACACAGAAGCCTGAAGAGCATCCTGCTAAGAATAGCACAGGAGTCAGGAGTAGAATGTGAATCAGTCATTCAGGGTTTCTGTTCTTTTGTGTGCACCATGTTGCCTTCTATCAGAGAAATGAACACTGAGACGTCAAAGACAGTGGTGATGTTTTCTCAGCTGCATAGTGCCCAATTACATGCTCGAAGGTAGAAATGGTGTCTCTAGACCAGGCCACCAACACTTTAAGCATGTGCTCTGGCTCTGTGACACTCAGTACATTAGCTTTGATCTGTTTCTGCTCTGATACTTGGTTCTGGGGCCTCTTACTTTAGAGCAGATAGGTGACTTTCTTAACGTAAGTCACAGTGCTGAGGGATGAATGCCATCAAATAAATAGAGATGAGCATATCCTTTTTGCAACAGTATTAAATAACCAGAATCAAATATTCAATTTTGTTTCTAACTTGCAGTAGATGAGCAACACATTAGAAAAAGACTACATGGAAGCAATAGTAAAAATGCATCAAAATTAGTTTCTTTCTAATTATATTTTTGTTGTGATGATTTTTCTGTGTCTGACTGTTCACTTAACTATGTTTTTCTCTCTGCAGGTTTTTGGATTATTTGTCAGATCTGTGCGTGTCTAACACCACTGCTATCCCAGTCACACAAGAACTCATCTGTAAATTTATGTTGAGTCCTGGCAATGCTGACATTCTCATTCAAACCAAGTAAGCCTGCCAACTCAGGCGTCTTTCCTCTGTTTGTTCTTTTGTGAGCACTGTACTCATGAAAACCATAGTCATCAGTGTGCTTCTTAATACATGTTTGCATCTCTTACTGATTTCAAGGCTGGTCTCAATGCAAGTGGACAACCCCATGGAGAGTGTCATCCTTTCTGATGACATTGACGATGAGGAAGTTTGGCTCTACTGGATTGACAGCAACAAGGAACCTCACGGCAAAGCCATCAGGCACCTAGCTCAGGAAGCAAAGGAAGGCACCAAAGCTGACTTAGAAGTTCTTACCTATTACAGGTTAAGTGTGGTACAGAGTTGTGATTCTCCATCTTGTGTATTCATGGAGAACTGATCTTCTGAAACCTCTAAAAGTTAGATATCGCTAAAGAGGAAAATTAAAAAATCATGGCAGAATAAGGCTAGCTGAAGTGTTAAGGAGTACTTAAAATACTCAGAATAAAAGTTAATATCTGTGCTTGGCACATATGTTTTCTGATTTTTCACTAGTTTGGGATGTTTTTACAGCAAAGAGTTTCTTCCTATGGTCAGTTTGTGGAGGGCAGATGAGAGACAGTTAGGAACTAGGTTATGTATTGAGACAGAGGTGGAGCAGGGTAGGGGAGGAAGCTGAGCTAGCTTCAGGGTGGCTGCAGGGGATGTTCATGATAGTTTAGTGTATTGTTTACCTGGGGTGTAAGAGAACCCCAGTAAAAAAAAAAAAAGAGTGTGTAATTAAGAACCTTCCCTTGCATGTGGCAGCAGAAATACTGAAGGCAGTTCCCAGTGCTCAATATATTGGGAGCAAGAGCCTAGCTGGCATCTTTGAGTCTATGGGATAAAACCAAGGCAGAATCCTAGGGCCAAGTTGACACCAAATGGCAGGAATTGGAGGAAGGCTTAGTATTCCCTGGTTTCTATAGCTATAGCAACAAAACTGAAAACTAGTCGTCATCTCAGAGGCTGAGAATCCAAGAATACCAGTGCCATTTGGTTTGGGAACTGAGTGGGGCCAAACTTACTGTGTAGATTTCAGAGCCCATCTGAGCAAGACTGGGGAAGGTAGAGAGAGGGTTTTGTGTGAGCTGTGGTTCATAGTCTCCCACGATCAGAGCACTGAGAGCCTCAGAACACTTTACAACAGACATACATTGCTAAGCGTGTAAGAGACATTGAAGTGAAGGGACACAGAGGCAATTTCATGTCTGTGTTGTCATTTGATCACTCAGCCAACTACCAAAAGCGTTTAACTGAGTTTCACAAATCTTTGGAAATACAGGCATCCTAAAGGTAGATGTTGACTGGTTCTGAGGTGGTTGCAGACTTCATCCAGGTGAGACAAATAATGTAAATTATTTAATGTTTGTAAGGTACCAGCTAAACCTCTTTGCAAGAATGTGCTTGGATCGGCAGTATCTGGCCATCAACCAGATTTCTACCCAGCTGTCTGTGGATCTGATCCTGCGGTGTGTGTCTGACGAGAGCCTGCCCTTTGACCTCAGGGCGTCCTTTTGTCGCCTTATGCTCCACATGCATGTTGACCGTGATCCCCAGGAGTCGGTGGTTCCTGTTCGCTATGCTCGGCTCTGGACGGAAATCCCCACAAAGATCACCATTCATGAGTATGTTTAGAAATATTTTTTGAGGACTTTAAATTTAGCAGAACTCAAAGTCAAATGTCTTCAATTTTGAAGCAAAATTCATAGAAAGGCATTTGTGTGTTCTCACTAGACTGTTCATCTTCCTCCTTTTGCAGGGCAAAATGACAACTTTTAGTGATATCAGGAAGCATCTTTCTAGAAGCCAATAAGCTGAAATAAATATCAATTTGTCATATGCTTAATATGAACTCTAAGCTAAGTGTTTGCCTGTGTCGTCTCATTTCACAATAGCCCCGTTTTACAGATGAGCTGTGCATCCAGGGTGTGCAGCCAAGGAAGCTGAGTATGTGGCTTTCTGTTTTGAAGAGATTACATACCATTTAACTTGCTCTGTCTTCTGTCTTCACAGATACGATTCTATCACAGACTCTTCCCGAAATGATATGAAGAGGAAGTTTGCACTGACGATGGAATTCGTTGAGGAGTACTTGAAAGAAGTTGTCAATCAGCCCTTTCCTTTTGGGGACAAAGAAAAAAATAAACTCACATTTGAGGTATTTTAAAACAATTGTTCATGCAATAATTAAATGCCCCTGTCAAAAAATAGATACATTGAGCAGCAAAGATTTTTCCCTTTAACTATTCAGCATGTTTTGGCAGTTAATCATGGACACTGTACACTGGAGCCACATGGTGAAGGCCAGTTCTCATAACACAGTGTCCTGTGTTATCCAGCAGACCACACTGCAGCATAGGGAAATAAATGTGTGTTTCTGCAAATTTTATGGGTAATACTTATTAATTAATTTAACTATTTATTAGGTGGTATTCTTCTGACTTTAATGAGTAAAAATTGATTAGGAGGTAAATAATTCAAATGTAAACTCTTGCAACCATCTTAAAGCACCCAGCATCTTATAAATTAATTCTAGATCTGAGTGAATCACTGTTTAAGTGGCTGCTTTTCCTGGGGTAAAAGTATTAGGAAATTTAGAAATACCTGAACTAATTTAGATTACCTAAATGCCAGTGTTGTGTCATTCTGTAATGTCCTTCCTTTCTACCTATTCTCCTCTTTTTTAAATTAAGGTGGTTCACCTGGCTCGGAATCTTATTTACTTTGGATTTTACAGTTTCAGTGAGTTATTAAGGCTGACAAGAACTCTTCTGGCCATCCTAGATATTGTCCAGGTCCCCATGTCATCATATTTTGAGAGATTAAGCAAATTTCAGGAAGGAGGTAAGAACTTTTGAGAAATATTATATTTTTGTTATTACAAAGTAAGATAAAAAACACATCCATAGAGAAGTGGTTGTTGACCTTAACTACTCATACCTGTGTGTGGTACAAATGACATTAATCCTATGGTAGGGCTGAGTAAAGACAGTGTGGACTTATAAACATGCTTCTCTGTTTCTGATGCTAAAGTTTTAAAAGACAAATTCACAAGATCAAATTCCATCATTACCAACTAATGTCATGGTCCATCTCCTAGAGAAAATATTAGGTGGTAGACCAATCAGACCGCTTCCATTTGAGATCAACTTGGTATGTATTGTAGGCTGGCTATTTCAGAACATGGCACAGAAAAGGGCAAGAGCCTGCCAGCCAGGGACTGTGCTAGAGGAGAGGTGAAGGAGAGGAGGGTTAGAAGTGGAGGAGAGCAGTGGAGGTGAGAACAGACTTCCTCATCCTGTCATTGCAGGGGTTCAAATCCCGCCTTTACAGTTTGGCAGCTTACTAACATTTCCTCTGTGATTTTCTTTTCTTGTGTGAGGTAAGATGGTAATAATAATGGCATCTCCCTCATTTCCTTGAGAGAAGTAAGTGAATGTGTACAATATGTTTGTGAACTTACAGCATTACTTATCTCATAACTCAATGGTGATCATCTTAGGTTGGATACCTGAAAGCACCTTGAGACAGAGAATTGTTTGCAGGAGGTATATTGAAATGTGTGCTCAGGATATACACCTGTGAGGTAGGTAGGGTTAGGTAGAGAAGTTCATATGCAGTGACTCTATAGGGAGCTCTGAGCTGAAGTGGCCTTTGGAATTGTCACACATTAAGGCAAACGGACCAACCTTTGAGTCTGTGTATCAGCCAGCCATTGGCTGCTGGCATCATTGTGGAGGAGGGCATGTAACTTGGGTAAGGCAGATCCCTATGGCCAGGAGTCATGTGTGGTGTGGGGCACATCATCCGTAATGCCCAGCAGCTATGGGAAGAGATGACATTGCCCTGAAGAGGAGTTATAGGTAGAGCACACTAATATCCATCACAGTACCCACTACAGAATAAAAAGGGAAAAAACAGAATTCTAATTCCAGACGTGAGGAAGAAGTAGCTGATTAAGAATTATAAATGAGGTACTTACAGATAAGCTGAAGTAATTAATTACTACTGCCTCAATCTCAGTCCCTTTTACTTTGTCCAAAACACTGCAAATCAATAAGAACCAAATTAAACTACATAAGTCCCTTACCTTCAGCATAACTAGAGGCCAGAAAGCAGTACCAGCTTCAGTTACTTTAAGCAGAAAAGTAGACGTTAGTTCTCAGTGGCCATACTTCATAAGCTTGCAGTGCAGGCCAGGTATTGGTTCTCGAGAAAGACAGAGACACAGAGAGAGAGAGAGAGACAGACAGACAAGAGGGGATTGTGTGGAAATCACTCAGAGAGAGAAGTATGGAAATACTGAAAAAGGGCCTTCCAGGTGTTGTGCTTGAAGAGCAAGGAACCCACACGGGGGGCTTCTAGCATACTGCTACCCCCTCAACTGAAAGCCACTCTGTAAAGAAACTGCACTTCATGACTCTGTCAGGAGAGGGAGCTCTTGAACCAGAGATTTTTGTGAACCACCATATTGTCAGCCCTGCTCAGGAAATGCACAGGCTTCGTCAGTGCTCCTTTGGGTTAAGCTACTGTGAGACAAACAGAGGGAAAAACAAAATATTGCAGTTGATGGAAATTCCCTGTTGAAAAGCAACCATGAAGCAGAAGAGCACTGTAGCATGACCCCCTAAAGGGAATTAAGTTCCTTCAAGCAAACGTGGTGCTATGTAAAACTAAGCTCAGAAATGGACCAGACTGCAAGAAGAAATGAAATGAAAGTTGATTGAACTCAGGAAGGAAATAGAATAAAATGGTAGATTTCATTTGTATAGTTTCATAAATACAGACAATTGTAAGATGTCACAGGGTGACTAGATTTGAGTGAAAATACAATAGGGGAGGCTGAAGAAAGGCAGGAGGATGATGATGATGAGGAGAATGATCGTGATATAAACAGACAGCAACGGTCAGAGATGGTGGGAAAATGGAAGGAAGGCAAAGAAGACACACTATATGAACAACTGGAGACCAGCCAAGAAAAAGCAACCGAATGCATATTTAAAGTCACAAAGCAAGAAGGCATTGTGGAAATAGAGGACAGAACAGAAATTGTCCAGAACAGAAATCTCTTGAGCTTATATGTAGCCTGTATTCAGGACCAGAAAGACAATGGAGAAAAAAAGGAAAGGGTATGGTGTTATTAACTATTCTTGCATCTTTTATGTGTGTTTACAATTTTCTAAAAATTAAAATATGTGAAGTCAGGCATTAGTGGTGCATGTGCATAATCCTAGTGCTTAGGAACCAGAGGCAGAAGGATCCTAAGTTTTAGGCCACCCTGAACTACATTGTGAGTCTGTGTCTCAAAGAACAAAAATAAAAACAAAATTGACTCTGCTGCTGGCATTTCACCAATGAGAGACTCCTTAGCAGTCCCAGAGAACACACCATAGTAAAGGCTCTTCCTGCTAGGATGCCTCTGCAGTCTCTAGTTTAAACTAAACCATTCCTCAAAAGCTAGAAGTTGATTCTGACTTTTGGTCTCAGTGCTTACAGTCTACTAATGGGGTTTAATCCTAAAAGATAATGTTTTTTTCTGTGAACATTTGCTAACATCTTGTTTGTTAGGCTGACCTGTCACCATCTGTCCTCTAGGATACATTTTGTGTGTGTTCTGGGATTGAACCCCACAGCTGCAAGCATGCTAAGCATGTGCTCTACCGCTGAGCTACATATCCAGCCCTCACACATTGTAAAACATAATTTTCATTTTTTCTAGTAAAATACAATCACTATTGATACCAAAGTCATCCTTTTAGCTCTCAGAGAACTGTTGATTAATTTATTCATTTGGAATCTACTGAGAACCATTGCATTACAGGCACTGTTCTAGTCTCTGGGATTTAACAATGAATTCTTTACCCGTAGGGAGGGCAATCGATCAATCAATAGACAAAGTTCTGCTGTTGTCCCCCAGGAGAAGCAGTCAAATAACATAAATAAATAGGTACTGCTGTGATGGACAGTGATGGACCGTTGGGGGTGTGGTCACAGAGCCAGGGAAGGCAGATGTTTGTTCTGAGTTTGATGGACAACCTTTTCAGGGACTCCAGAAGGAACTGATGTGGTCAGGCCACTTTTGCTGCTGAGTGGAGAATGAAGACCTGTATGCATAAAAATGCCAGGGCCATGAAATTCAGGCTGAGAAGCTGCTCAGATGAAAGGAGATGAAAGAGGTAGAACCACAAATGCAGCGCACAGCCTTGAGTCAGGATGAGTAGTCTTTACAGAAACCATTGTTGGCACTGCTGATGGGATTCGAGTATGGGCTGTAGGCCTACTACTGTATCCTTTAGACTTTCTGAGGTTCATCACTTACTGCAGTATGTAAGACAGTGAACTTGTTTCTAGCAAATACATGCTGAGGAACTGAGGGTTGAAAATGCATCATGTTTGGGAGTAACTCTCAAATAGTGCAGAAAAAAAATGCGTCTGTATAGACAAAGACAGACAAAAGTTGGCAGGATTTGTGAATCTATCTGGGTGGAGGGTACATAGGAGATCTTTGCAGTAGCCTTGCAACTCTTCCCATAAATTTGAAAGCTTTTATAAACAACCACAGTAAAAAGTAAATAACTTCATTAGCCAGGTAGGTTTTATGCAAGGTGGCAATTCAAGCTTGAAGAATTATCTTGCAACTCTACTAGGTGTGTTAGTATAGCTAGGCTCCATTAGACTGTAAATTCTCAACCAAGGTTCTGGTAGATGTGGTAAGTTCTTTTCAGAAGAAATAAGAGGAACATATTTTTGCAGTCACCACTGTGGAGGCCTGATGGTCAGGCATGGGAAGAATCTGGGGGTACAGGATGAGATAGAGGTTGAGGCCAGAGAGGAAATCTGAGATTATGGATAGTACCTGGTAGGGGGCATGGTAGGAAGACTTTTATGTTAAAGGACAAGTGACAGGAGTGACAGCAGTGTGGCCACATTACACTACCTAGTGTGTCTTCTGCTCTTTTGTGGTCAAATGATTTGGATTGTGTTTTCCTGGTTTTCTTTATTTTTTACTTGGAAGTCACTTGTGAAGTACAATTTTAAAAAAGTAATTTTATAAACACCATTGCTAGATAAACAAGTTCATTCCAATAAATGATACAGTTTTCTGTGCTTACAGCATGTCTGGAAAATTTCACACAATACCCTTTTTGGTCCCTTTTACTTGCCTACCCCTTACTAGTTCTCCTCTAGCACACTTGAGGTTGGCCATGCAAACAAACGTGTTTGGCAGACTGGATGCAGGGGAGAGGAAGAGAAGGTGGTGTGTAGAAGGCAGAGGTTTTGAGCTCCTGGAGTTCCATTTTGCACCAGCCTCCGTGGCGCCAGACTTAAATAGAGTGTGCACATGCAGCATTCTTTGTTTTTCTGGAAAATCCTGGAGGCTTAGATGTCGTTGATTAGCGTCCGAGATTGTGGGGATGGCTGGCTTGGAAAGTGGCAATTCTGAAAGTTTTCCTATCCTCCCAAATAGTGCAGCCCACCTCAGTGTTCCTGGTAGCTGCTGTCTTTCTCCAGCTGCTTGGAGTCTGAGTCCAGCTCCCAGGCTGTGCGTCTTGCCATTGCAGTGGCTTTGGGTAGGCCCATTGCAGAAATTGCTAGTTTCAGAGCAGCTTTCACTTCTGTGCTTTAGAGTATTCAGAAGATTATTGAGGCAAATTCACAAGGAGACATGGGGAGCTGGCGCTGCTCTAGCCACTGCTGTAGCAAAACAGGAGATTCTAATCTTCAGAACTGTCAATGCAGTACCTTTCATTGGCTACATAGTCACATCAGAATAGAAATACTGTTTTCAAACAAATGCATTCACTCTCTGCAGGCTATGTTGCTGAGTCAGTTTGCTTTGCCTA